TTTGGAACCCTCCTGAAGTGGTGCCTGAGGGAAAGAAGGCTGTTGGCTGCCAAAATGAGGTCTTTCCATAGTTAGAGGCACCTTTTCAGTTGTTATAGAGACAAGTCCTCAGAATGGCACCAGCTCCTCCTTAGACAGGACGCCGAGCCCAGCAAGAACACTGAGACCCACGTCCCAGGAGGTCCTGAACACTTGGGCATAAATGGGACTCCATTTTGTTTGAGTGTCGATGAGGCTTCATGAATTTCCTCTTAAAACATGCATCTTAACTTCTTTTGAAAAGCCTCACAAATTCCTGGCTCTAGCTGAGCCCAGGCAATGAAAAAAGCCTTCTGTCCAGAAGGCAGTTGCTGTTTTTACAAACTGAATTTCAGTTTGAAGGACTGTCTAGACATAGCAAAGAATTTAATTCCCCTGAAGAAATTTTCCAGTCCATGCAAATGTAGGCTATTCTTTTAAAGACTAGAAAAGAATATATAAGGAAGGAATGTGTCTAGTATTTAAAAGCACCCACTCACTGGAAGTTTGTTTTTTTACTTACTTTTTAAAATATTTATCTAGAATTGTGTGGTTGAATACAGTAGCCACATGCAGCCACTTAGCAGGAAATTAATGTAAAGTAAATACAGTTTAAACTTCAGTTCATCAGTCATACTAGTCCTGTCTGAAGTCCACAGCAGCCACCTGTGGTCCCTACCGTATTGGACAGGAGAGTTGTAGAGTGCACCATTATCACAGAAAGTCTTCTGGGGCAGAAGAGGGAAAACACTCACTGAAATCATACTTTCTGTGCCCCATTTTAGACCAGCTCCCCTTCCTTCCTGTAGTTCTCCACTTGCCAAGCAGAGTTATTCCCACTGCTTTCTGCCTAGAAGTCGAAAAGTGGCTGTTTACTCTTGGCTAAAGGTGACGGAAAGCATAAACTGCTAGATACCCCAGAAGGAATTAGTCTTCATTAGCATGTGCCTTTCCTGCTAAATCTTTCACTGGGGAAAGGCAACATGCATTCAGATGTCTGGAATCACGAGGTGCCCTTAATTGTTCCTACCCTGGTGCAGTAACAAATCACTCAAGTTAATCCATTTCTCCTGAGCCTTCTAAAGGGATAATTGAATTCACTCTTTTGCTGCTTTGATCTGAGTTCCAAAAGCACCATGCCCTCCCCCACCCACTGCTGTCCACCCTGAGCTGAAGGGTGTGGCTCTTCTCTGAGCTTATGAGAGCTAGGATAGTGAGTTACTCATTTTTTGTATCTCCATTGTCTAGCCACGATGTGTCATGTGGGAAGCACCCCAGTGCATGTTTGTTGAAGAAATTAATTAATCAATTACCTAATCAATCAAGATGCCTTCAGTTTTCCCAGTAAGACTTTCACTGATTATTTCTACAGAGAATCCATTCCCCACTACAGTGATTTGCAAGTCTGGCTGCTCATTAGACTCACCTGGGGAGCTTTTAAAAACTACTGAAGCCAGGGCCCCCTCCTAGCCCAATGGAATCCAAGCCCCAGATTGTGGGGCTCAAGACCAGGGTTCTGTAGACGCTCCCCCAAAGAATGGATTGTACAGCCAGGATGAGCACCATGGTGTAACCAGCCCCTTCATGTGTGGGCCTTATTTTGGAGCAATGAAGTTTGAAGACGATGAAACAGGAAGTGGCAAGCAGTGGGGGATGACAAAATGTATGTTTATTAGAAAGAATAAAAGGAAAAGCTCCCTACTTGTCCAGGAGGGGTTCCTTAAGGGCGACATCATAGGCGGTCAAGACTATTGGCTTTTTTACACCGTTTTTGGTACCAATGAATGGTGTACGTGACACTTCTCAGTGATGTTCCGGGTTGCAGGTAGGCCTTTGATGTCCAGAAAATAGGCTGCTCTCATTGCATTTCACTTCCTCCTAGACTTTTTCCATTTGTTTAGTGACCTGTTCTTTGTCCCTTGAGTTCCATTAGGCCCTGATAGTCATTTGCGTAGGTTAGTTATTCAAGCCCTCTGGTGTGTTAGCTCACTTAAGCCCTGATTTATACTTTACTTTAGGTCAGCTACTCAGGACCTGGGCGCTATCTGCCTACCTTCCTCTGTCTCCTGGTGTCAGTGGCAAGGTTCTCACTGGGTAGCTAGAAGTAGGGGCTGGTTCTTTTTAATGTTTTTTCCCTTTTGATATTTACACTGCAAGTCCTCTTTCATGCACTGTCATTTTTACCAGGAGAGGAAAATCATTCTGATAGTTACCTTCCTGGGTTATGGAATGGTACTGTCCCTGTTGCTCCAAAAAGAGGTTATAGGAAGGGAAATTCCTTATAGGAGCTGTATTGTTTCTCTGAGGACTCAAGATAGAACTACACTGCAACATCTCAGGAGAATATATCTTCTTTTAAATTCCTCCCTAGAGGCTGAAGTTGTGAGTACATTTGATATCATGTTGAGTTTTTAAAAGCAGAATACAATGCTACACGCATGCTATGATAGTAAATATGGAAAAATATATCTATCAAAAGAAAACTGACTTAAAGAATATAAAATGAAACTGTAGTCAGTCATGTAAGAGGTATAGATATGGGGAGATCAGGGAACACCTTCCAGATCCTGCACATAAGTCTCAGCTGGGAAAAGAAGTATCTGCTGGAAGGATCTCCCTCTGGCTGGAGGAAGTTAACTGGGTATCACTAAAGACCCCAACAGACAGGGAGAAGTAAGCCCAAGCAGTGACCCAGATGGAGCAGAACTCCTAGTTTACCTCTGAGTAAGGTAAACTCAGCACTAGGTACCAAGGACAGAGATACTGAGAATCTGCTCAAGCCAGGCTGTAGTTAGAAGCAAGGTGAGGAGAAGAATATGGGGTCCAGAACAGACTGAGAGGTTCAGGATAAAGAGTGGAAAGTTGGGAAGTGTTGAACATCTCATCACACAGTGTCTGGCTTGTGATTTTGGATGGAAGAGTTTTCTAACGTGAGGCACCCAGCAAGATTGTTGTTTCTTCTTTCTCTTTCTAGTACCAAGTACCAAGTAGTACAATCTTCCTAATATTAAAAAGTGTATACTTGCATTGTTAAAGTGAACCAAAAATAAGATCAGTAGATGGAACATAGTGGCTGCTATGTGTTGTGCATCTACAGTGTGCCTGATACCAAATAATACGGCACAAATACCACAGTTCATTCTTCCAGTAATCCTGAGAGGATGTCAGCATTGCCAACCCCACTTTAGAAGTGAGAAGGCTGAGGTTAACTGACCTGTCCAAGGCCACACACTCGGCAGGTGGCACAAGTAGGGTTTGGTCCACCGCTCCATGATTCCAAAGAGATACATGTCTTCAAACACCAGAACAAGCTTCATCAGACTGTACACAAATCCCCCCATCCTGTGACAGCGCTCACATCTCGTGACCTCACCAAAGGCCACCTCTTTTGTCACCGGCCCACACTGGTGAGCCTCCCACATTTTCATTATGTGGGACATGGTGAGGCTTTTATGAGGCTTCACCACAGGCTGTTTTTCAAATTTATTTAATTCATCCATCATGCTCTGAAGCCATTTGCTTTTTTATATTGGACAGATGTAATGAGATTTTGGACACTAAAAAATGTTTTTATTAAAAGTTATGACCCAGAGCTAGTTGGTAGGGGCCCTGCCATAAATCCCTAGGAATGTGTGAATTTATAAAGGATGTAGCAACATAACCTTAACCTTTAGGCCACACAGTAGATTATAGGATCACTTAGACTCGTACTGTCTCACCTCAGCTCCCTATTTCTAGCCTAATAATAATAATAGTCGTTACATAGTTATTTGCTGTGGTGGCTTTTAATTCCATTGTAGCCACGGTTGAGTTATAGTGAGCCACAGCCTAGTAGACCAGATGGCCAACAGCTGGGTTAGTGGGGAATTTGCCTGAGGACCTTGTGACCTGTGATGGTAGGCTCATTGGTTCTCCTTCTCTGTTCTGTGTTGTGTGCCTGGGACGAAAGAAAGAAAGTCACAGACACATTTTCTATAGATGGGTGAATGTGATTTCTGTCACGGGAGCAGTATTTTGGGACTACAAAGGTAGTTTTCCTACTCTTCACTGCCAACCTGAAGAACTCCTAAACTTAGGAATGGATGCAGTCATTTCTGTTCATGCATAAAACTCCATTTTAATGCCAGTCGTCACCAATTTATATTAAGGTCATACTACTTGGAAATCATCCAAAGAATAATTAGCTTGTACATGTAGACCAAAGCATGGTCATTAAAATATGCATGTATATTAAATATTATATATTATCAACAATATGCAATATGCACAAAATACAGTTAAAAGTTAAGAGAACAATTAGGCTTGGCCAGTTGCCAGTGACTTTTAAAGCTTGCATTTGTTTGTACGTTTTGAGCACTGTTAGGTAGTAGATCCTGCCAGAGCTGCTGAGGATTCAGGATATTAAATACCACACCATCCTAGCTTGCATAAGCCTCCGGTGGAGGAGGACATGTGTGTTGGAGGGTTTTCGGAGGGGCAGCCCTGCTCGGGGTGTTAAGGAGCACTCTGGGAAAGAGGTGTTTGGGGCGGGGAGGCCAGAAGCTGGTGATCACTGCTTTTGCAACGATGAGGAGGCATGTGCCTTGAGCAGCAAGGACAGCAGGCACAAAGGACAGACATAACTAGCTGCCGCCATAGCATGTGATATTTTTTCCCCCTTTTAAAAGAATAATCTCAAGTGTAAACCCCTTGCTCTTATCTATAGCCACTGTTGAGCCTGGCTGGGTAATGTCCGTAATTGCAGGAAGACGAATTTTCACCATACGATTCTACCATTGCTGTATTTCCTAATCAGCCCCACGTTTTATCATGTGCTTGTGCTGGAAGCGTATTCCAGGATTTTCACAGTCCATTGGCAACAGCTCCCGCCTACCAAGACTATGGGAGTGTAAACCATAGATACTGTCATCATTAAACTCATAAATCCATGTCATTGGTGTGTCATTCACTCCATCCTCATCCATCATCCCTTACGCTTTCAGAACAGCCAGCCGTTCGAGGACTTTGAGGAGCGCTTCGCAGTGGCCACACAGGTAAGATCGAGAGGGCCCTGCCTGCTTAACTCTTTCATGTCCCTGTGCCATCATCCCTTCCATGCTCATCACTCATGCCTTGTGGTTACAGAGCAGAAACCTGCCTGTGGACTTGGATGAGATTCTTGAGGCAGCAAAGGTAAGGCCTCAAGGTTCCGGGAAGTGAGGGCTCTTCTTGTCTTTCTTGTGCACCCAAGTTGATCCCAGCCATCTGGCTCAGCAGCAGGCTCTCTGTTGTTCACTGCTACCATGGGCCCCGTTCTCATGGTCACAGGAAGGCTGAGGTCAGAGCATGTGTCCACATGTGTGCAAATGTGCATGCAGGACAGGGTGTGTAGGAGAGAATGTAGCGCTCTGTGTTTTCCTTCAGGAAGTATTTTTGAACCTCCTGACAGGTCCCAGACATTGTGACATGGTGCTAGAAGAGCAATAGTGAGGAAGGCTCGGGCCCTGCTCCCGAGAAGCTCATAGTAGGACCTTCTGCAGCGGCATTGCACAAGGAAGAGGAGGGCAGGGCAGAGGAGGATAGGGTAGAGTAGCCTCACCCAGCCTCACTTGTATAGCATAGTGCAGTGTAGTATAGCATAGGACAGCAGGAATTCAGACACAAAGATGTGCAGGAACACCACTGGAAATCAAAAATAGGCCCAGCTGCTCTTCGTCCAGTACATACCCTCAAGTAGATGTCTTGGTCTGCAGCCCCTGCAGACTATCTTGCTCACACTGGTTGATACACAGACCTGTGAAAAGTGTCACCCCTACATACCTGGAAGTGTGAATAAAGTCCTTCCTGAACACCAGGAAGTGTGAATAGCAAACACTACCAGGAAGTAAACAGTGTCACTCCTGCATACCAAGTGTGAATAGTGTCCATCTTGAATGCTGGGAAGTGAACAGGAAGCCTCCAGGGCAGAGATCATCAGCTGTGGCAGCAATTTGGAATCGCTAGGAGAGCTTTCTAAAATTCTAGGGACTAGGGCTCTTCCTCACACCAAGGAATTCGGACTTTCTGGGGTGGGACTAGGAGGCATCAGTACTTTTCCCCAGACAAGGCTGAGAACCACTGGTCTGGACGTATCTGGTAAGCTGTTTTAGACTGTTGGGTGGCCTACAAATTCAGTTAAAAAAGTAGTCTTCTAATTGTCTCCTGGAAGAGGATTGGGAAAGCAGAAGGAAGCCAGGAGAGTTCTAGAAAGAAGAAGAGCTTGTACAAAAGCCCTGGGATGGCCACTCCCTTCCTAGCCCACTGTGCTCTGCCCTCTGTGACACTGTGTGGTGGGTCTTCATAGGCCTGTCTTTCTACAACCAGCCAGCTCACAACAGTAGGAACAGGAGCATGTCAAACCTGCTGCTGTCTCCTGCTCGTGGCAGAGTAGTTAAGGCGTGGCAAGGGTCCTGGGGCTCCTGATGCAAGATTATAAGGAGGAGGTTCCATGAGACAGTGTCTTAGGGGTCAGAATCTCCCACTAGGGCTCTAGTTGTTGTGGCCTAGTTCTCAGAAGGATCTTGAAACAGTAGTCATATAGCACTTTAGACTTTCCTGGGAACTATCACTTGTTCCTATGAAAACATAGTTGGGCAAGGCCAGCTTGATGGAGATATACAGGAGAGGCTTCCCAGACATCTCAGCTCCTTCTTGCCTGCCCTGGCCTTGGCAGCTTCTAGGGTCACTCTGCTTGCCCCAGCAGCCCAGAGAAGGGGCAAATCATCTCTCCCCACCAAAAGACATTAGACATGCCAGAGATGGAAGGACTTTCCTCTGGCAAGTAGATACCTTAAGGCAACATTTCAAACACCTTCTGGCAGGCATGCATCGTAGCAGAGGTCTTAGCACCCTTGGCTTCTAGGGGAGGAGATTGTAGAACAGGGCTTCTACCACTTAGCGAGGCTAACTAAGGTTTGGTGAAGGAACAGATATAAACCAGCTAGCAGTGCTAGTTCCTCTGTAGGGCAAGTCCATCCTGTCGTCTTGTAGCTGACTTGGCACCAGCAAATCCCTTACCCCAGCTGCAGTTAGCTCCTCTGTAAAACGTAGAGAGACAGTGGTACCATGCTGGTGGCTGTATGGCGTGCAGTGAGGGTCATACCTGATGATGATGTATGTGAAAGTGTATTGTAAGCCATAAAGCATTTTACAAATGTGGACTCTTAGTTTTATCCTCTTGGGGCCTTAAAAATAATTATTTTTGGATAGAACATGGTGTATTAGGTTACAAGTAAAAGGAATGGGGTTCATGGGGGAGGAGGCCTGCAAAAGTAGATATTCCAGATTTTCAATCATACATGGTTATTCAGATTATTTTTAATTTTATGGCCCAAGAATCTCCCTTTTCTATAAAATTTAATTAACTCGAGGTTCTATTTAAACAGCAAATCCAGTGGAATGAAATAACAATCTGTGTTTTATGCTTCCTTGTGTTTTTTCTCGTTTAATCCTTGAGTGAAAATCATCAGGCAAGAGGAGAGCTGATAGCTCAGAGAAGGAAGGTTATTTTAAAAGTTGTGCTTAAGGAGAAAATTAGCCAATAAATTATATTTACAATGTTAGTAAAAGTATGCCGCCAGTTCAACGCGTTTGAAATGTAAATTGCATGACTTAATTATTAACTTCATTTTAATATTTTCCTAACACTGAGAATAGGTGTGGGCCATTTTAAAAAATGTCAAGTTCCAGGGCCCGGGATTTAGCTCACTGTGCTTGCCTCACAAGCACAAGGTCCTGAGTTCAATTCCCAGTACCAAAAAAAAAAGTCAAGTTCCAATCATGGGGCGCCGTGGAGGCTTCATTTGAATTCATTAAAAATAGAGCCGTGCATGGTGGCGCACGTCTGTAATCCCAGCACTCTGGAGGCTGAGACAGGAGGATCGCTGTGAGTTCGAGACCAGCCTGGGCTACATAGGCTGACCAGGTCAGTCTCAACTACATAGTGAGACCCTGTCTCAAAAAACCAAGTAAATAAATAAATACACAAATTCATTAAAAATAATCCTGTTAGGAATTTGGGAGGGTGACTAAAGGACCAGCATCACTTCATCAAGTAATAGAAGATGCAAAGACAAGTGTCCTCAGTCCAGCCAGACTGTGGTGTACCCTGCATGCTGGCACCTCACCGCCATCCACTGCCAGATCAGAGAGATATGGGGGTGGGTCAGGAAAGAGGTGGTGGGAGGACTGGAAATCATGCCCAATCCCACCACAGCCTTGCTCCATCCACTCGCCTGCCTCGTCCTCTCTCCCTCTCGCTGTTCACACCCCATTTGCCCATGGTGTCCTGTCTCATGTGGTCTCACCTGTCTGGAAGGCCCCTGCTCATCTTTGTCACCTGGCCACCTGCACCTCTCCTGCAGGATTCAGATCTGGGCTGTTTTCCTTGGAAAATCTCACTAAACGTCTTTGACCTGAGCTGGCTAGATCCCCTGCTAGCTGCCCTTCAGTGCCTCATAGAGACCTCTGCTTTCAGGAAAAGGAGTCTTTTGTGCATTTAGAGCCAGGCTTAGCCAAACTTCAAAGCCAGTTAGATATTAATTGTGCCTGGGACCACAAGTGTTTCAGATTTTGAATGTTTTCCAGCTTTGTAAATGTTGACATACACATTGAGAGATATCTTGGGGTCAGGACCCAAATTGAAACACAGAATTCATTTATGTTTTATGTACATCTTAAACTCATAGCCTGGAAATGATTTTAGACATCTTTGGTGCACCTGTATTTTGACATGGGATGAGGTGTAGAAATATCTATATGTGGCATCTTATTGGAGTTCGAAAATGTTTGATTTTTGGAGCCTTTGGGTTTTCAATACACAGATTAGGGATGCTCAGCCTGCAGGTTGTCAGTGAGCATACAGAGCAGGTATTACCAAAGCTGTCATCCAGGTGGGGAGCCCTAGCACTCAGCTGTACAGCTAGGGATGGGCAGTATGGATGTACACTGGAGATTCCACTGAGGAAAGAACATTCCTTCTCTGTGTGACTCCTAGAGAGAGTGCTGCAAGCTGGTTGGAGCAGAATCTGAGCTCGGGGGACCCACAGGGCAGGAGGATAGGACAGTCACACTCTCCCAGTGCCATCTATGAAGGGCCGGTTTTCAGTATCCTCAATAGAAGCTCTCACAAGCTGAAGTGGAGTGGAGAGTGGTTTTTCCTCCGTGGAACAACCTGCAAAAAGCGTATGATTATATACTTTCCATAATTAAGTCAACCCACTGGGTTCTGGCCAGAAACTCTCTGTGGTCTCCGAAGCCGGAAGTGTACGCAGATTAATTTCTAAGTCTCTTTTAGCGGTACTCTTGGCTACAGTGCCAGCTCTGCCTCGGCCCTCCTGTGATGGATGGGAAGATAGATGGAGCAGTATCTGCAGGGACGGAGTTCCGGGAGTGATTGATAGTGTGTACACTGGGCTGCTTTTGATGCCTTTCCTGGAATTAAATGAAATGTTTTCTTTTCCTCCAGCTACATAGTTTTATCCCAAAGATAGACTATTTCGGGACCAAATATTTGACTGCATGCTCAGGATACAGAAAATTTAAATCCTGGCCTAGATGACCTTGATGTCGCCTCTATGAGAATCATTTTATTCCTCTGCAAGAGATGGGGGTAGTGAATTCTACCTCGCAGAGTTTATATCACTGGGAGCATTTGCTGGGAGGTGACAAGTCATCTCTTGCTGTCCTCCCACCGGAAGGCATCTTATTTGTGTGGACGTGCTTAGGAGAGAAAAGCCAAGGATGAATTGTCTTCCTGCTTCTGTCCCCCCGAGAAGAGACACAGTCAAAGAGGGGGCATTTGATAGCCAGCAAGGGAGAAGTGGTGCTTTTGCAGCTTGTGAGAGGGGGCTAATGAGCAATGTTGACCACGCCTAGAAAAACACCCAGATGCACTGAAGCAAGAACTGGGTCTATCCACACCCTGGTGCTGCCTTCAGGATGAGCGGTGTAGTAATGACAGACTGGGCGTAGGTGGTCACCCTGAAAGATACGCTGGTTGTTCTTGTTTTGTTTTAAAGCTGTGCCTAGCAGCAACTGCATTCTTGGTTACATGGTTATCTTTTTGTCTTTTCAGGCTGTGACCCAATTAGAACTTTTTGGGGACATGTCCACCCCTCCTGATATAACCACTCCCCCCGTAAGTATACACGGCACTGTGATCCACAGCCCTTTCTCAGCTACACAGGAACAAGTGTCCTGTCTTTGGGTCTTAGAGGCCTGCTGGTGAATTTCACCTCTGGCTCTTGCAAGCTTGTGACCTGGGCAAGAGAATTAGCAATCCTGAGCCTCCATTTCCTCGGCTGTTAACCCTGAGGAGTCCAGTCACAGTGGAGGTCATATGTATCGCTAGTAGTATGTGCTGAAATGTAGGAAAATAATTGAAACACTGCAGATTTGCATTTATTATATTATTGTATTTATTATATTTTATAAATATATTGCTATATATTATTGTATAATATAATAGATTGTATTATTTATTATATTATATAAATTCATGGCTTTTATTTCTTTTCAGTTATAATATGGAAATTATATATTTTGGGGGGATATGGGGGATCAAACTCAGGACCTAGTACTTTCAAGGCAGGCGGCAGAACCACTGAGCTAAATCCCCAACCCTATAATATAGAAATTATGAAAGAAAAGAATTTAACAATATTTACCAGAGTTAGGGTATCTCTCGTAGGCAGTACACTACCAAATATCAAACATCCTTACAAAACACATGTTACAATAGTACTGATGGCTTCAACATTATGGCTTCACATTGGTCATGTACAAACATGCAGCTACTCAAGACTTTGGAGCTGCATGCCCCATACATGTAAGGTTTGAGAAAAAGGTTTGATTGCCTCTCTCATAGTAGCTGGTGCCCTGCTAAGGGTTAAAACAGGGAGCTGAGGCAGAGAGATCACAAGTTCAAGCCCAGCCTGGGAAACACAGCAGCTTAGTGAGGCCCTGTCTTGCAGTTTTTTAAAAGGGCTGGAGAATTAGCTTAGTGCCAAGACCCTGGATCAATCACTGGTCCACACACAAAAAAAGAAATTATGATACATGCTTCTGTTTTGAGAAATAAATGAGGCCGTGTACTCAGCAATTCTAGGACTTTTCCAGGATGTGCTTTGTCTGGGCTCTGAGAAGGAAGACAGGAGTGAGATTTATTTCCCGCCCACAGGGAGCATGTGGTCTAGTTGGGAAGATAGGTGAGGCAGCATGAAGAGGCATTTGGCAGCACCTCCCCGGATCCTCCACCACACTGGAGTCAGCCCAGAGGAGGAAGCATCTTCCCTGCCCCAGTCTGCCTTCCCTCTCCGCTTCTTTCCTTCCTCGCTCCATATTTTGTTTCCCCTCCCTACCCAGCCTGACTCTTAGCTTTGCAGACCATGACCCGTACCTCCCTGTGCTTTTCAAGATGCTCTGGATTCCCAGCCAGGGAAATGCTTGCATGAGGACAAGATTGCAGGAAGCTCTAATTTGAAATTGAATAAAAAAAGAAATTTAAGCAAAATTGAATCCTAGTACTGGGTGCATTTGAAAGCAACCCATTCTCTGGTCCTCTCCAGAGGTATATAGAGAGTTCTCAACCCAGCTGCACCAATGAAAGCTGCAGGGAGGGGCGGCTTATCTGGGCACAGCACAGTTGTGCAGAGGCAGGGATGGTGCTATGGTTCATTGGCGAGATGAGCCTCACAGACAAAGGGCTGTAGCCTCACCACCGAGGACAGACAACGCAGGACCCTGCAGCCCACAGCTGCTGCCAGGGAAGCCAGGCCCAGCTGTCCTGCTGCCAGCACCTGATGTCCAGAGCATCAGTGTCCTTGTCCCTGTCCCCGGGGAAGCTGGACAGCCCTGACCATCCTCATCCTCTCCATTAAAGGAACAGAGCATCATTGCAGACCTGTGGGGCTCTGGAGCTGGAAAGGTCTGCAGAGCCTTTGCAGCCTTCCTTCTCCCATGCATTGTACAAATGAGCAAACTGAGTTCCAGGAGGACACGTGACTCAGCTGAGGTCACGTGGAGGGAGAGAAGCATGCTGACTGCACTTAAAAGTGCTTAACACAGCAGCCCATGGCTGTGTTTCTGGCCCTGAACCCAGGCACCATCCACATGGGTATTTAATAATGCTCGGAACAATGCTATTCGTCCCACAAACTGCTAGTCTAAAAATGGCCTTGTCTAATTGCCATGGTTTCAGGATTAATTGCTTGCCCCAATGTGTTCCAAGGGGAAATTTAAAAACCACCAGAGAGATTATGTCATTGAGCAGGCTTGCACTCACTCTGTAGGTAAAAGCCTGCCGTCAAAGGGTGTGGACCTCACAAAATAGACGTCCTGATGTTTTCATGAAACCCCAGCTCTTGCAGCAGAGCTTGTGGCACCTCAGCAGGGCTCACCAGGCACTGCAGCATTTTCAGCGGTGCAGCTGTGGAATGCTGTTGTTGAAATGCCTCCTTCAAAACACTGACTTCTTTTTGCAAGTGAAGATTCAGGGGAGATTCTGTGAGGCACCAGGGTACATGGGCCGAGGCTCCACATGCTGAGCTTCGTTCATTCACGTGCTCATCAAGTGTTTATTAACTATGTGTTAAGTGACAAGCCCTGAACTGGGCTCACCTGAGGTCTCGGCCTGCAAACACCCTCAAATCCGCACTGATCGCAGAGTCTCACATGTCCTCTGCCTCCCTCCCTCCCTCCCTCTCTCTCTCTCTGGCAGACTCCCGCAACTCCAGGTGATGCCTTTATCCCATCTTCATCCCAGACGCTCCCGGCGAGTGCAGACGTGTTTGGTTCTGTACCTTTTGGCACTGCTGCTGTACCCTCAGGTGAGCCCTCCTCCACCAGCCTCCCTTGCACTGGCCTCCACTCACTTCAAGAAGGAGAAAAAAGTGACTGATCCAGCTGAAAGTTCGCGCCCAAACCCCTGTGGAGCCAGCATTCTCTTCCACAGCTCTTTAGCGAGCAGCTGCCATGTGAACGGCGACTTGGAGATCAGATACCAAGCTCTCTCATATGCACTGGCTGAAATCCAGCCATGTCTTTCACTTGGAGAGTTCAAGACTCTGGGGGACTCAGACGTACAGTGTTGGGGAGCACGGTACCCACACAGCCATGCAAACTAGTGTGTCCATTTCCTCCTGTCGACCTCAGCCAGAGTAGGAGGAGCAATGAGCAGCAGAGGGGACAGAGCCATCTCGCCTCAGATCCCTTGAGACCTAATGGGTAAAAGGGATCCTCTTTGTTCATTGCTGACTCAGGAAGGGGCGGTTTCCTGTCCAAGGCAGCAGGGAACCCAATGGCCAAAAATCAACTGCCAACTGTGAATTAGGAAAGAGGTGGAACTCAGTGATTGAGAAAGCATTTCTTTGGTTTCCCACGTATTTTTATAACATATATACTACTTTCACAACAGGATGAAATTATCTATAGGAACAGTAGTGCAGGTGAGTTACAAATGAGGGGGACCCGCAGATTATATCTGGTTTCTATGGTGTCAGGCAGTCAGGGTGGCCTGGCTACTCAACTTGAAAATGACCAAAGGTGAGCTAGTTCCGTTCTTCATATCCACAGGAAGCTGGAGGGGTTTATGTTTTCCTTTAACTACATGTTTCAGATTGGTGGCTTTATCTTTCTTTCTTGACTTTATTCTCACAAATGGCAGATAAGACTTTGAATATTTTAGCATACGAATCCTCTTGCACTTCTCTTCTATAAATAATTACTTTTAATTACATAGTGTTAGAAGCTAATTCTTGTCACCAAATATAAACCTTACTTTTATTGGAAGCAAATTAAAAATTCATACCCCATCCTGAAACAGTTATTCTTCATGAACCAAAGGATGGATCATTATGAACTTTGAGAAGCAGCAGAGGCTGGTAGTGACTAGGTATGACTGACAGTTTAGAATCTGCATGTAGCTTAGAAATCTATTAACTACTAAGTTTCCCAATAGAATCTCTTTTACTGCTTTCTGAAGTGGCATGGCTGTAATGACTCATTTCCCTACTCTCAAATGGACATTAAAGTCTCCTTGGGATTCGTGCAGTAGAATACAGTATATCACGTAATTTAAGAACAACATTTTTCCATCAGAAATGGACCACCCTGCTATGTCTGAGCTTGGTGTTTGGAATATCCAAGCTTTGTCCCCATCATTTATCTGTAAAGATTCTGGGACAGATGGGGGGAACTCTAGGACTTAACTTACTCAACTTCAGGTGTGTTTATGACATACATACTCTCTGAGCGCCACTATGTGCCAGCTCCCGTGCATGGGCCATGTTGGTGAGCATGATAGATGGAGAGCTTACCTCCTATCAGGGATACAAGCAGTAACAATAAGTCACTTGTATAATGTTATCACGTGGTGCATGATATGGACAAAAAGAAGCACAGTGCAGAAAGTGGAATCCTAGAGTCCCAGCCAATGAACTTGTGATCAGGGGATGGTCCGTCTACTGGAAGAGACGTGGGGAACAGACATCAAAGTGGGGAAATTCCAGGCCAAGCCAAGAAGACGGTGCTAGGTGCAAGTTTGAGTCTCTTCCAGCACTAACACTGATTTAAAACACCCTGAGGACCTGTCTCTGTCGGGCAGCACTACTCCGCCTCTTCTCAGCCTGTACCACCTCAGGGACTTGGAAGCCCGGTCCTTAGTCTTGCTAACTGTGATCCAGCTATTTCTTCTAGTTGTTTAAAAAAAAAAACTGATTACCTCCTCGATTTCAATTTTTAGAGCAGGAGTCTAAAATTAATTTCAATTAGCATACTTTTGCTTTCATACTATATTTAAGAAATGTTTGCAATATGCTTCAGTTGGTGTTAAATTATCTGCCTGCTCCCTTTCCTCCCTTAACTGTTCTTAAGAATCTGTCGCTGTTGCTTCTCCATCTACCCGTTGCTGATTGTCCAGCCAGGGGTAGTGAGAAGGGTGGTGAACAGTGCTGTGTGAAACAGTGAGTGAGATGCCTGTTTAATCTGATGGGCCGGCTTTGAATCCTGCTCAGGCTTTGGTTGTTTGTTCATTGTTTTTGTTGTTGTGGTGGTGGTTGTTGTTATTGATTTTGCTGATGGGGTCTCATAATGCTGCCCAGGCTGATCTTGAACTCTTGGGCCCAAGCGTTCTGCCTCAGCCTTCCAGTGAGCTGGGATTGGAAGTACTTGCCCAGGCTCATTTTTTAAATAAGCTTTAGACTCCTGGGCAAATTACTTAAGTTGTCAGAGCCAGAATTTCTTCATCTTTATAACTGGATTGAAAAAAAAAAAACACGTCCCTTTCAACAATATCACAAGAATGAAATGAGAAAATGAAATCAAGCACCGTGAAAAGTGCTGGTACATCGGAGATACTAGAGATGCAATATACAGTTGCTGTTACTCTACCTTCGAAAGTAGAAGGAAATTTTCCTTTATGTTCTCGGGATTGTAATGTGTGCAACCAAGTTTAGGTTTTCGGTCTTTTGACTGCTCACGGCAGACGTCGGCAGTGTGGTCGGGGGAGTGGCCTTGTGTGGACACGGGTCTTCCCCTCACCAGCTTTGCAGTGCTCAACTGCGTCTCCTCCTGAGCTTGCAGGAACTTTCCTGAAAAAAATGAGGGTGATCATAACTTCGCACCCCAGAGCTGTGCTAAAGATTGCACAAGTGAAGACAGGAAGCAGATCGGGGGAAGGTCACTGAACAGTGTGTACTCAGGAAGTGTGCACCAGGATGCTGATTATCTTGAGGATTGGCCTCCCCAAAATGTAACTTAATGAAAGCAAGGATTTCACTTTAATGTGTACTACACTGCATCTCCAGAGACTAAAACAGAGCCTGACATTGGCAGGGGTATTTTTCAGTTCCTAAATTAGTTAAGCGAATAAGGTAGATAAGAGATACCATGCAAGTTCTCTATGAGTGTTGGAGTCCTTCAGTACTTTTAGTCTGCTTTTTTTTTTTTTCTTTTTTCATTTCTCAAATAGTGTGGGTGTCCCCAGCTGCCAGCACCTGGTTATAAATTGCAATTTTCCACACTTTATAGACCTAGCTGTAAGGCAGTCATGCAGGTGTTCCCATTCAGTTCACAGTGAGGAGGTTTATGATTGATCTGAACTCCGTACCATAAACAGATGCTCCTTGGCACCTCCTCCCTCCGCTGTTGCACATTAACAAGTAAGTGGTTAACAAGTTGTTAAGTGGCTGCAGCGGCAGCCAGCAAGTGGCTCCCTGCGGGAAGTGCTGCCACAGTCCTGCTGCTGAGGTGTCCCCTTAGATACAACTCCATGTGGCCTGGGAACACCGTGGGCTGCAGGGACTTCACCCCAGGAAAAGTGGAGAGACCTGTGAGTCCCAAACATGGAACCCACTTGCCCTGTGCTGCCTTTTTCTCTTCTTAATATTGTACTTTGGTCTGAACAGATGGCACGAAGCCAGAGAGACATGCTAATAGCTCTCTCCAGAAAAGTGTGCACAGACCATCTGTTAATTCCTTGTTAAAACTTTTAAAAAAGAAAGAAGAAGGGATGGAAAGAGAGAGAGAGAAAAAAAACAAACCCTGCCACCAACAGTGGAATCATGAAAGATCCAGAACCTGTGATCTTGGAAAATACTCTTGGGAAAATGCAGTGAAGTCATGGATTCCTGTAGAACTCATTTACCTTGAGGGAGGCCCATACTCCAGGACTCAAACATTCACGGGGCTGCTGATGCCTGCTAAAAATTGTGCACAGAATGGGGAAAGAAAATAAAGGATTCCTGCCAGCACTCGTCCTTCTTGTCTTGTGGGGAAAGACAATAATCAGGCAGTCACAGCACTGCATGGTGAGTGTCACAGAACTGTGCAGCCCAGAGGAGGCCCAAGTGCATGCCAGGGGCAGCACAGGCTGCGTGCGGGCAGAGGGGATGGTGAGCGGAGCCTGGCTGGGTCAGCCAAGGGAGGAGGTCAGCGACAGCCCCGCAAAGAACCTGGGGACAGCGGGTGGGTGGTGTTCTCAGCTGCTGGGGAGGGGGGCTAGACAGGTAGGGCTTGAAAGTGGTGTTGAGGAAGCTGACTGCCAAGGGCTCGTCAGCTGTGCCCAAGCATGTGAGCCCTGTGTTCAAGACAGCAAAGTGCCGTGCAGATGGTCCCCGACCTCCCTTACGGGGCTTCCACTTCAGATTTTTCAGCTTTACAATGGCGAGAAAGCGGTACACATTTGATAGAAGAAGATGCACTTTGAATTGTGATCTTTTCCCATGCTGACACCGTGCAGTGTGATACCCTCCCCCGCTGCTGAGCAGCCCCAGGGAGACACAATGGCCACTAAGCCATGGCATCAGGCTGGAGACAGCAGGCAAGCTACCGTGTGCTGTGCGAGGAGTAGGATGTTTATTAGGTTAAGTGAATCCTCAGCTTTACAATATTTGTAGCTTCCAGTGGGCTTGGGGGTGGGTGATGCCATCAGATAGCAAGGAACATCTGCATTTGTGTTTTAGATCAGTCCCTGGTGACAATGAAAGAGATAGGATAGAAACAGAACTGAAAGAGGCTGGGTAAAACTGAGGTTGCCTATCCACTGCACAAAACGGCACTGGGACCATTGAAAGGCCCATGGATAGGTCTGCAACTGTGAACCCCATTTTCAGCGTCAACTTTAATGGCTTGCAATGAAATTCGTAGATGGTACTATCACATACCTACATAGTGTTTGTAGAAAAATCTCCACTAAATGTCCTAATTGTAATAGAAAGCAGAAATAAAAGAATGCGGATTGATAATAAAAATGTGTTTCAATAAGGAAATACTCAGGCATGAGCATAGTGAGTTATCAGATGCTTATACCTATCTCAGACTCACCCCTTGAAAGTGACAGCTACTAGTACACTTCTGATAAAGAAATGTGCAGGTTCAGCCACGTGAGAGGTGTTTCTGTTAGACATCACTATCTTGGTGGAGAACTCTAGTGTGTTCTGAACAGAATATAATCTCTCAATGTGCACACTTGGTACATTCCTGAAATATTAGAACTGTCTGAAAAGCCCAAATGTCCATGTAATCCAAGTTCTAGACTCAAATAATCCTGACCAGGATGTGGGATAATGCTTTGGTTTTTTTGGGTTTTTGTACCAGGGATCGAACTCAGTACTAGGGATCGAACTCAGGACCTTCTACTTCTGAGGCAGGCGGCAACACCATTGAGCTAAATCCCCAGCCAATGCTTTGTTGTGTGTGATCATCTCCAACATTATAGGCTGTCTACCATCCATGCTGGGAACCCCTTAAAATGGCAAGAATGCCTACCCTACCCTGCAGTTACCAGGACAAGCAAAGCACATGCTACAAATTTTCTAATTACCCTTAGGGGGCAGCAACGCTCCCATCGTGAATAATTGCAGCATATCAAAGTAAAGCAGAAAGCAGGGAAAAAACAAATGGGGGGGGGGCAAAATTCTTCATCAGTTGGTGGATTCCAGTCCCAGCATCACCATGCAGTAGGCAGGCAGTGTAAGCAAGTGAGTTTCAACTTTGAAATGTCATCACCCACCCCCGCCCAAACCTGTTGCTTCAGTGCAGTTGGACTAAATGATTTTACAAGAGTATCTTTTATTTTATTTGTTGATCTCTTTTCCTTATTCCATAAAAGCATTTAACACTCCTACATTAGCCTGCTTGTGTGTCCTGCTTGTGCCCTGCCTCCTCTCAGAGTGGCATGTCATGCAGGGCGGAATGGATTCCTTGCCAGGAAGTACCCAGGCTTTGAGTCCTGACCTGATCTGGCACCGGTCAATGGAGAGGAAGCTGGGGCTGGGGCTGGACTGTGGTGTGAGGCACCTTGTGCACACTTTCCCTGGGCTCTCCAGAGTCTCTGACGTGACCCAGGATGTGAGCAGCACCGCATCACCCATCCAGAATCCCTTCGGAGGTTGCTAGGATACCGTACATCCACTCCTCTTCCTGTCCTGTCTCCCTGCACCTGCAGGCTCCTCTGGCAGCCATGAAAATCCTTGTGTTGAGTGGCCTGGTGAAGCTGACTTCTACACCCTCGCTCTACCTGGATGGCCACCTGTCTTTCAGGCTCCACTGCCCACGTAGGAGGCTGTTATTTCCCCTGTGAAGCATGGCACCGCCAGAAGCACATGGCAGTTTCCTGCCGTCCTGCAGTGTGCTGAAATGTACCTTGCTGAGCCAAGTCCATTGGCTGTGAAAGAGCAGAAATTAGTCTTGACCATCTGGGTGAAACTGGCGGGCTTGAGGAACAAACCACCTCAGCTTTAGATCCTGATCCTTCTGCATGCAGGCTGGAAGCAAGCTGCTTTTCCACTCTGAGCACCCATTTCCTCATCCCCAAAATGGAGATGGTACCTACCACTCAGAGACTTTGTGAACATGTTAAACGCTATACTGGCTTGCTGTAGGCATTTAGTAAGTTAAAATTGTTGCTGTTACTGTTAATATTGAAACAGATGTCACTTGTGCTCCATTAAAAACGATAGTACAGTAAACACTTATCATGGTAAGATATGTGGATATAGCACCTGCCTTGGAATTTTGCGATGCCCAGCTCACACCACTAAATAATGTGCTCTCGAACAGATGATAACCTTCATGGTTTTAATTCGCTAAAATAATACTAATACAGAAATAGTGTACCATAATGTCCATACCTGTACCTTGGTGCATGTCTATTTACCAAGTAAGGTACTGAATATTTTAGAGACTGTGTTATGAAATCATACTGGCAGCATTTATGGACTACTCATCGATGTTAGGTGCACACCTTGCAGGTGTAGCCTCAGTCTGCAGACCGGGACCGTGAGGCAGGAGGCATCTTAGGTCCCTTTACCGATAAGATCATGTGGAAGTTGAGAAACACTTTTGAAATTGAGTAGCTGAGGGGTAGCAGTCTGAGTGTTAAGCAAACCTACGGATGTTGTACCGTTCCAGCCCATTTCCACTGTGCACATTGCCTCGATGCTGAGAGGAAGGCTTTATAACCTGGCTTTTCAACACCAAGACTGACTTTTTTTTTGTTTATTTACTCAAAGTGTTTTTTTTATTTTATTTTTTCCATTAAGTTTATTGGTCCATTTTAGGGATACAGTACAGTTCCATTCATCATTGGGATCTTGTACCTTTACATGACCGGTCTTGGTTCTCATTTTTCCCTTTACCTCTGCCCTCCCTTCAGCCCCTCCACCCTCCCCTATTTACAAAGACTTTGTTTCCATGTTTTTTTCCTTTTCACATATTTTTTCTTTTCCCTTCTTTCCTGTCGCCTACCCTTCCCACTCCTCTACTCCTTTATACCTTTTCTTCCTATTTTGCATTGTCAGTTATATATTTTGATTCTTATTTACACTTTTAGTTTGTCACACTAGAGAAACTATTCAGTATTTACACACGTGTGTCCTATTTATTTCACTTAAGAGTATGGCCTCAATGAGCATCCTCTTAGCTATAAATGTCTCTAGTTTCTCATTCTTTATGGCTGAGTAGTGCTCCGTTTTATAATTTTAAAAAATCACATCTTCATTATCCAGTCTCCAGTTGATGGGCAATTGGGCTGTTTCCATGTTTTAGCTATCACAAACTGTGCCGCTGTAAATGTATATCACTGCGCATATATCGCTGTGGTGTGATTCTTTTAATTCTTTTGGGAAGATACCCAGCAGAGGGGTAGCTGGGTGAAATGGTACTCTAATCCTAGTTGTTCGAGGTATCTCCATATTGATTTCCTTTCAGAGTGTGTAAGCAATTGAGAGGCAAGGTGAAAGCCTGGCCATGCTGGATTCCCTCTCCCTGCTCTGCCTCTTTGACACACTGACTCCTGAGAGCGTGAGATGTGGGGCCCCTTTAATTGCTCGAGAGATGCTCCTGTGATGCCCTGGACAGCTGCCTGGCTGGTCCCTCACTGTATTCTAGTTTCTGCGGAGCACTCATCTCCCTAGAGTGGTCTCCCCAGCCAGCTCTCTGGAGAGAAGCCTCCAGGATAGCATCCTGCAGTCCCTGGCACCCAGAGGGTGAGGGATACATTTGTCAGTCCTCCTCGTGCCTTACCTTCTTTCTGTCCTTCCAGGTTATGTTGCAATGGGCGCCGTCCTCCCATCCTTCTGGGGCCAGCAGCCCCTCGTCCAACAGCAGATCGCCATGGGTGCTCAGCCACCAGTTGCTCAGGTGATGCCAGGGGCTCAGCCCATCGCATGGGGCCAGCCGAGTCTCTTTCCCGCCACCCAGCAACCCTGGCAAACTGTGGCCGGGCAGTTTCCTCCAGCCGCCTTCATGCCCACACAAACTGTTATGCCTTTGCCAGCTGCCATGTTCCAAGGTCCCCTCACCCCCCTTGCCACTGTCCCCGGCACAAGTGACTCCAGCAGGTCGAGTCCACAGACCGACAAGTCCAGGCAGAAAATGGGGAAAGAGATGTTTAAGGATTTCCAGATGGCCCAGCCTCCACCTGTGCCCTCCCGCAAACCCGACCAGCCCTCCCTCACCTGTACCTCAGAGGCCTTCTCCACTTACTTCAATAAAGTCGGGGTGGCACAGGACACAGACGACTGTGACGACTTCGACATCTCCCAGTTGAATTTGACCCCTGTGACTTCTACCACGCCATCGACCAACTCACGTGAGTGCCCTTCACCTTTGACATCCAACCCAGTGCAAAACATGCCGGTTTCTGGATGACACTGGGTGTCCAGGTGCTAGAACTCTTCTCACTTGCCCTCTCCGGGCTCCTCCAAGGCAGCCACCAACCTGTGTGCTGGGTACAGCATACAAACCTTTCCATGTGTTCAGAGAGGCTTTCACACCCATAACGATGCTGGTCTACCTGTAATAGCACCAGATTTCACGCAAAACTTCTGCTAGTCACAGAGAAGAAAAGATTGGGGAGCAGGAAGCTCTCAAAAGAGGGACCAGGCAGCATCTTTTGTTCTTACTAGCTTTATGCCTTGGTCAGGTAGTTTCATTTCTCTGAGCCTCCTGTTCCTCTTCTGAGTAAGGCAACAGGTTACTGAAAGGATTTAATATGTGTACTAAGAACTGTGTACTCACAAGGCTAGAAGTATTGTTATCCTATGTAAGGGTTTCTGTGTAGGGTGCTGGATCAAGGATCCTGGCACAGGTTCTCTACAACTGGTAATGTCTTTGGCAAGTGCATGGCTTTTCGGAAGTGTAAGAAATTGGCTTGGATGACAGCGTATCCCCTTCCATTTTCCACAGTCAGCAATTCTATCCCAGATCCCAGACAAGGCTAGAAGTATTGTTATCCTATGTAAGGGTTTCTGTGTAGGGTGCTGGATCAAGGATCCTGGCACAGGTTCTCTACAACTGGTAATGTCTTTGGCAAGTGCATGGCTTTTCGGAAGTGTAAGAAATTGGCTTGGATGACAGCGTATCCCCTTCCATTTTCCAGTCAGCAATTCTATCCCAGGTGTCTTCTCTACATCAAGAACACAGTAACTACACAGCCAAATCAGAATCCAGACACACTACAGGCATTCATGCAATTGTTTGACACACTTCAGGACAGGTATTCTGGTGACTCAGCCTGTACCTTGATAGTTGACAAAGGAATAGAAAAGGCTCATGGTACAATGAGTTTGGCGCTTTCACGACTGTCACTGGTGACATGGATGACTGCGTGGCCAACAGTGAACTGTCAAGAAAAGTCTAATGTTAATGCAATTAGACTGTGTCATTTCAGCCAGGTGCAGAATGCTGTTCTGAAAATTAAAGCCCTCAATATGTAGAAACAGCCCTCTTGCACTCAGGCCATAGCTTCTAAATGGTGGGGCAGGGGAGCATCTCTATTAATCCTAACTCACAGAGTTTCAATGAGGAACAATGAATAAAATATGAAATGCTAAAGAAATAACAGCCATGCATAAATGTGCAAGCATCTTTAAAAAACAAATGTCTCTCTTTTCATGGACTTGTGTGCCAGCTCCAAGCAAAAAAAGGGAAGCTTAAGCTCTTGAGGACTGGGGATATGTCTTCATCCTTCCACAGTTTGTAGAATGGGAAAGGTTGTAGAGAATGAAATGACACAAACAAAGGCCATTCAGCTATGGCTGAGCTTTAGAGTGGGGTTTGCTACCTCAGCACCATGATGACTTGGGCCAGTAATCCTTTGTTGTGGAAGGCTGCCCTGTGTATCCTAGGCTATCTTGTGGCAGTCCTAGCCCCCAGTAGATCCAAGGGATATTCATCCCTTCCCTCCAGTCATGACAATTTAAAACTTTATCAAATATCCCCTGGAGGTGAAATTGCCCTAGTTCGAGCCCTGCTGTTGTAGAGCACAGAGGTAAGCCTTCTATTAAACCTTCTAAAGATGAACGCTTGCATGAATAAGCTCTGAACTATGTTTCCCATTGATTTCATTGGGTAAGTATGAGCAATATACCTGTCAGAGTTGGCAGCACACCCTAGGTTCTCAGTCTTTAGTAAGCAGTAAACCACTTCAAACACAATTCAGAATCCAATTAAGCTAATATTTGTTAAACAGCTACTACCCATCGGGGAGTTTTTAATATAGCTTTAAACCTGTTATAACTCGTTTGTTCCAAAATAGTCTCATGAAACACAACAGACTTCCTTTCAAAGAAAAATAACAATGTTTTGTCTTAAAGAAAATGAGTAAAACCAGTCTTTAAATTCTCTAATCTACCAGAAACCCCTTCAGAATGTTTTCAGAGAGAATTGGGTGGATCAAAAGTGAACCTCGAGGGCCAGGGATTTAGCTCAGTGGGGACGCCTCGAAAGCACAAAGTCCAAAGTTTGATCCCCGGTACTGAAAAAAAAGTGAACTTCGAATAGAATCAGAAAGGCACAGATGAACTGAATAGCGTCACAGGGCTCTGTGTTATACCCCAGGACTGCTGTTTCATAACTGGGTTAATCCTGAGCAAGGATCCACACTGGTTTGAGCTGTAGGTGCTGACTTCTGGGGGCGAAGGGCAACATCTGGAGTTGTTGTTGCTGGGGAGATTAATGGATGGGAACTGCCCCCACAACTGTGACTGGCTCACTAATACATTATAAATAATCAGGTTTTGAAATAGCATCATTGTTTAAAATATAGGGTCACTGGGGCCAAAAGGTGCACACTAAGTTTTACAATCATTCACTGTCTGATGGGTTGCCAGATTTTCTAAGCTCTAGAATATTACAGCAGGGAGGCCTTACCAGTGGCCTGGATATTCGGCTACTAAGTGGAGCCATTTCATCTCTTATCATCTCTTCCCTTGACGCTAAGCCAGTGACTGGTATTTTCCATGCCAAATGAGAAATTATAAAAGAACAATTTCTGGGGGAATGTGTGTTATAAATCTCTGGCCCAAATGAGAAGAGGGAAACATGGGAGTCAGTACAGCAACTGCAGAGGCTTCTAAAATGCGGGCTGGGAGGTTATCAACTATACTCATCTCGGAGAGCACTTTCAGGTCTCCCAGGTTCTCTTTGTGTAACACAGGGTTATTGATTGCTTACTGTAAGCCAAAGTTCGAGGCTTTGTCCTGCCAGTTGCCAGGGACAAACTAACAACCAACTTTCACTCTCCTTATCTGTAAAACTGGGATAATTCCCACCACCGGGAGGCTCTGTGGGGATTGAGGACGTTGTGAGTGTAATTTTGAACAATATCTTACTCACACGAGGCACTCAGTGAATATGCTCTCTAAGGTAAAGGCAGAGAGCGGAAAGCAAACCATGACCTAGTGGTTCTCAAATTGTCACACGTTTAGCTGATTCACTTGGGATGAGGAAGAGAAGCCCTGTCATCTGATTCACATACAGTGCTACCTAGGTTAACAAACTCAGAGCTCTCCCTGATTCCGGTCACAAGCTGAACTGGAAGAGAGCCCAATCAAGGTTCTCCTTAAGGGTCAACATTGAACCTGACCACTGAATTTGACTCAGCTGTCCAATTTGGTTTGTGACCAGAATCATGGAAAAATTCAAGGTCGTGAAGTGAAGGTACCTCTGTGTAAGAGATCCCTGGGGTTGCTGTGGAATGTAACGGTTGCACCGGGCACTTAAGGTATTTCCTCTATTTGTGTGGTTTCTGTGTAGCTCCAACCCCAGCCCCTAGGCAGAGCTCTCCATCCAAATCCCCCGCATCTCATGCCAGCGATCCGGCCGCAGATGACCTCTTCGAAGAGGGCTTTGAAAGTCCCAGCAAAAGTGAAGAGCAAGAAGCTGTGAGTGACTGCTTTATTCTCTTTTTTCTGTTATTTATGGGGTTTTTTCCCCTTTCTGAAATGGACAGTGCCTGTAGATGCCTACATACAAGAAAATGCTGGCTCCAACTCGGCAGCACTCAAGGGCTTTGTTTCATGTTCGGACAAGTGAGCCAGAAAATGCTGCCCTTCTGTTAAGTTGGTACAAGCTCTTGCATTTGTGGGGTGGCATCCTCTGATTAGAGGTTCATCCCTTGAAAATAACTGACTGTATTGCTGCATGACATTGTTTCTAGTTGTCATATATTTTCAGTTGTTGAAAAGAAAAAAAAAAGTATTATCTTCTTGTGTTCTAGCCTGATGGATCACAGGCCTCCTCCACCAGTGAGCCCAGTGGGGAGCCCAGTGGGGAGCCCAGTGGTGATAATATAAGTCCACAGGCCGGTAGCTAGATAGCGCAGGTCTGGGTAGGTATCTGTCCTTTTTATATCCTTTACTCTGCAGTTCACTGCTTTTGCTTTTGCTTGATCTTTACCTCCTAAGTCATATTCCCTATGTTTGCACCTCTCTCCTTGCCAGTGCTGTTCCTGATGTTTGTGCCTTCTTTCCTGTCTGAGCTCTATTCTTGATGTTAGTGCCTCGAGTCCTTGACTGTCCTGTATCACCAATATTTATACCATGTCTGCTTGCCTGAGCTGTCTTGCCAGTGTGTGGATCACCTCTCCTTGCCTGGTTTCTCCTTCCCACCCAGCTTTTCCTCTCCGATGAATGACCTTTGACGTATACTGGGACATCGGGTTAAGGGAAGAGTGGGAAATAGTCATATTTCATCTGTGATATGTTCCGAGTGGGCAGTATTTCCGGGATGATGCACAGCCGACACAACTCGGTGTGGATTAAGTTTCTGGAAGCAGTGTCCCTCTGCGATGGGCTCGTTCTGCTCGGCCTGATAATTTCTCTGTGAGCTGTGGAGCAGATGCTTTTATCTTCCACGCAGAATGTCACTGCATTTGCCTACACGCCACAGATCTGAAGAGGTCACCAATCAAACCCAGTGAAAAGCCAGACTGTGACACAAAGCCGAGCAGTGCTTGAAATCAGATTGATTGGGATGTGAGATCACGGTGGCCCTTTTCATCTGGCCAGAAAGGGGCCTGCACTCCCCCATGCCCAGTGGTGTGTGGCTGTCGCTTCTGGGGCTCTGCTGTTTGCACCTGTGCTGTAGCATGTGGTTTGCCACCAAGTCACTTCTGATTCTATCAGCAGCTGCTTGGAGAGGACTGTACTCACATTTAGTAGAAGTGGCTTTTGGCACTTGAATTTCAATGCATCTGATTTGATGGAAAGAAAGAGGAGATGATGGAGTGAACCTTCTCAGGAGAGAGAAGTACACCTCATCACCCTGGCATGATTTCTAAGGTCACTCCTTCACAAATGTGTTCAAGTTTCAGATATTTTCCTAGTTTTCCATAAACATATAGGACTGCAAGGCCATACCTGGAGAGCTCTTCTTTTTTAGTCCTGAACAGTATGATCAGAGCCATTAAAATGGTAAACAGTTTTCACCACTCCGAAATAGATTTTGAGGCAACCTCAGAATCATTCTCCATCCGTGCATGAGTTACTGCGACAGTTACTGAAAAGTAATACAGTGTCTTGAAAGTGGATTTTGTTCCTAGATGGTACGATTAAAGAACTTAACATACTGTGTGTTTTGCCACACTTTACATCAGGACAACAGCCCATAATACTACATCATGCCACGAAAAACCCTGTTACAGCCATTTATAAATTCAGTCTTGCAAAACTATTTCAGGGGCTGGTCTATTAAAGGCAAAGTCAAAGCTTCAAGAAAGAGAAAAGTTGGGGATTATGGATAGACTCCTTAGGCTGAATCCTCAAGAGGTTTTCTACCCCTTGCTCATGTTGCACTTCATGTGCTCAATCTTGCCTTGCAAAATTTGATGAATGAACTAGAGGTGACAAGAGCCATTCATCAGGATAACAGCAAACATCACCCTCAAATTGAAGTTCTTCTAGAAAACAAAGATGACTTACACCACTTGCAAATCAGTGTATCAAATCTTTACCTTCATGAGCCTCTTCAGCTTGGAGCAATTCCATGAGCTGCACTGTTTCACGGGGCTTCAGTCTGTTCCATTTTCAATGCTCCATGCAGCCCGCCAAGCCACGGCTGAGTCATAAACGGACATAGCATGGTACAGGGGCAGGAGCTCAGTATTTGGAATTTGAGTTCCGATCCTAGCTCAGCTACTTAATAGTGAGAAATCTTGGGCAAGAGCCAGTTGTTTCTTTTGAGTCTTAGTTATTCCGTTGGCTAGAGGAGGTGTATATTATCCACAATATAAACTGGGATAGCGTATCTTCAGTCTCTAGCATGGAGATAGACACTGACTACTCAGTTTACACATTCTGGGTTCTCAGGTAGTATTTACTAAAGTCAGAATCTGGCTTCACCACTTCTTGGCTCAGTGACCGTGCCGAGATTTCATAATCAGTGTCCAGTCTCATTTTCTTCAGAGAGATAAAAATAATGTTCACCTCATAGGGTTGTTGTGTGAATGAATGAGGCAGCATATGTGGAGTTCTTCGTACAGTGCCTGGAACATAGAAAACACCCAATAGATGTTAGCTGCCATCATCATCACCACCACCATTCCTACCACCATCATTCCCACCGCCATCATCACCCCTGTCCACCATCACCACTGTCCACCATCACCACCACCATCATCGCCCCGTCCACCATCATCATCACCACATCACCAAACAGTCATCATCATCACCCCCCTCCACCATCATCATCATCAACCCCCTACCATCATCATCATTATCACAAGTGTTCAATAAGCGTTGGCTCTCTACCATCTCGAACTTGATACCTTTAGCCCGTATGTTGGATATGGCCATTGCCCAGGAGATTTTGCTAGATACTTTCTCTTCCATTAATTGTTTTCTCAAAACAGCTTAAGTTGGAGGGGGCCTAGCTCTCTGATTTTCCTCATCACATAATCAGAATGACCCCAGTTTGAGCCTTATCACTTTAAAAAATTGTGAAGCCTTAGATTCACATGTAAATCAGAAGTCCCTGCTAGCTCTGGTGGAAGCCCAGTCTGTAATTTTTGATGAGGCAATTCTTCCCTTTGTAAATCAACATGGCCAATTTATGACCCCCTCATCAAGAACTGGATGCTAGGGAGCTGATGCCTACCTTCTAGACAGATGTCCTGCAGTACCCATTCATGATGCCAACCTGAGACTTTCTAGGGCCCTCTTCCAAGGGGAGCACAAGGCTCACGTGATCTTTTCCTCTCCATCCCCCTAAACTCATACACCCAACTAGAAATTTGAAATTAGAAATTGCGAATGCATTTTTTTAACTCCTTTCTGGACATCTGGAAAAGGGATTCCATGCAGAGATAGTTATGTCCATGGCTTTATGTTCCCCTCTGCCTTCCTACAATGGGAAAGCAGGAGCCCCAGCCTTCTTATCACTCTTGCAACCATTCTCTCCAGCTGTTTTTTCATTAGAGGTAGCCATACAGCTCTGAATAAATGGGGATGACATCTGCTGATAAGTGAAACCACATCCCACTAGATTTAAGAGTAAACAGACAGGCCCAATCCCTGAAGATGGAAGCTTTAGTTCTATTTTAGCAATAAAGGAAAATATCTTCAATTATTTCACTTTTTCTCCTCTACCTTCCCATCTGGAAGAATCACATATCTTTGAAAGACTGAGTCAACGTGGGCAGAAGAGAACCAAAATAATATTATAATGGCTGGTGTGGGAATGGCAGGTAATTTATACTTCACTGATGTGTTGCTGGAGCAATTTTAAAGGCGAAATGTTAGCTTTTGAGGAGATGAAAGAAAAATGAAAACATTTATTTGGTTAAATGGCTAAGTAAATAAACTGCCTATCTGACTTTGCCAGCTGTCAAGTCAAAGTAGCATCTGTAACAATGGGAATTGTTCAGTGTGTCTCCCTTTGCAACAGTAGACATTGCCATAAATAATAAGTCTCTGTCATTTTTTAAATACTGATCTTTGTAGTGGAAACCCAAGACATATAAAGTATTACCTAGTAGAAGTTCTAGTGTTCAAGGGGAAAGAAAGCTGAACTTCAGATGCTTTGGAAGGGGGAGTCTTTTTTTTAAAGGGGAGAAAAAAGAAACACCCAGGGTTGGGGGACTTGTATATGGACATAAATCCAAAGCAGGTGAGCTTAGGTAAGCATTGCTCCATTATGCAGCTGAAGACCGGGAATTTTTCCAGGTCCCTTTCCCTGCTGTCCATGAGTAAACATGAATATGAAAGTGGTTTGCAAACTTTGCAAGTAAACTACATGTATTTGGGAATTACCAAACAATAGAGCCTAAAAAAAGAATCAACAAATAAATAAGTAAAACCTGACCATCTCAGGGTCAGGCAATTCAGAGGCAAATCCAACCTAAGATTTGCGGGGAGTGGTGTCCCACTTCCTTAGACCTTCATAAAGAGACACTTAGGAATCTTCCACCTAGGAAACTGCTGGAGAGTTTCCTCCTAAAGTGGCCAGAGTCCAGATGCAGGCAGTGACTGTCAGGTAGGAAAAGTGGGCTTGGAGCCAAGAGCCAGGTAGACGATGCAATTGGCAAAAGGTTACAATTGAAAGAGCATGAGAGGTAAAGAACAGGATGTGCAAGCGACCCCCGGTTTCCTGACACAGAGGACTGGGTGGTGCCAGTCTGGGCTACAGAACACAGAGCAGCTTGCATGAGCAGTAAGAAGGCAAGTTTACTTTAGGACCAAGTGAGATGGAAATGCCCATAAGGTTTCCAAGTAGAAATGCCAGTAGGCTGCTGGATATGACCCCTGGGGTCATGAGAGAAGATAGGCTAGACTTGAAGATTGCATCATGGCTTTCAGTAGTTGCAGTAGTAGATGCAAGACAATTACACTGATCATCTAGACCAGCAGTTGACCAACTCTGTATTACTTATTATTCATGGGCCATACAGTCTATTGCAACTACTCTATAGTCAGAAGAAAGCAGCCAAAGACAGTGCCCAACTGAGCGGGTATAGCTGTGTTCCAATAACACTTTATTTACAAAAACAGGCAAATTGCAAAAGTGGTGATGGACCATCATTTACTGATCAGTGATTTAAGTCACAGCCGGTGTTTCTAGAATCATCCTGCAGAAAGTAATCACAGTACCTTCATCTACTACCCCTAATAAAATACATTGAAAAATCGCTAGCACCACTTAACTCAGTCCTCACAGGAAGATTCTTAAGTTTTTGTATTACTTCCTCTTCGTAAATATGACAGGTAAGACAGAGCAGTTGATATTTGCTAAAATCATACAAAGCTCATGTAATGGGGCCAAGATTGGAATCTAGCCTCAGATTAAATTGTGCAGGAGCACTTGACTGGGACCAGAGCACCTGGGCTTTGACAC